CTTCACAAGCTAAGTTTTCACTTTCATGTACGATTGCTTTTAACCGCTCTGCTCACTTGGCAACTGCGCATTGGAAGGCGTCTTTGCTTTCGCTCGTCGTATGTCAACTGAGGCGAACGCCGTATCATGGGGACTTTTCTGATGAGTTGAAAACTGAAGAAATGGGTCTACCATCTTCCAGAAAATCATCTCTTTCAGATCCTGTTTGAAACATTCTGAAAACCTTCCGTAATCGTAATTGGTTTGATCGACAACCCGCACCGGATTTAAAACACGTACCAGTGAAACCATTCTGACAAGTTCGAAAGCAGTCACAAAAGGACTACACAGTTCCGCTCCCCACCTGCGTATCCGGCAATGTAAGGGGCAGTTATGATTGTGAGACAGATACTTTCCGTCAAAATACATTTTAGGTTGGGGAAGCCAACATTCTATCTCAGTTCGGTTCCAGTGACCCACCATTGGAAGTGACTTCTCATTCACCATCATTATCAATAGCATAACACCATTGTTTAACAATGATGCCTCACTGCCGTGCTGCCATGATTTAATTGAAAGTCTTATTTCGGAGAGGAATAAAGGGGGATGGGGAAGAGACTTTGTGGTAGCCTACCACAAGCATGCCCAGTTGCCTACACTTCCAGGCACATTCAAGCAATATGAGTAGAAAATGATGACAAGAACGGCAATGACATCGAGTAGCAGCTATACCTTGCACCATCTCCAACCAGGCACACTAGATGGCACGCGTAATTCATCCTGGAACGCGAGTCGCACCGATAGCACCCACACTTTCCCCAGTCTTTTTCATACCCAAAAGTTGGCGGCCTTTCTGTTTGCGCTACCCCGAACTTGATACATAAAGCAGCACCCACTTCGCAAACGGTGGTTGGGCGTGCGCAATACATGGCCTCACCACCACAGATTTTGTTGCTGGACATGTCCTTCGATTGGACTGCCCGTTGCACAACCGAACACTTGTACCTTGTTGCCTTTTTACAGATTTACCGACATCAGCGTGCACGAGCTTCGGTTACGACAGTGAAGCATTGGTGTTGAACACTGATATGCTGTCGATGATGATGGTGATGACTAGCTATGGTTCGGAGACAACGTTGGTCGAAGACCTGAAGACTTCTCAGGGACCAGGTCTCAGCCATACAACAGAACAGCCCGTACGGCCATCATCATCATCATCAAAGACAACAACATCAGTGTTGACACTGATGCTCCACTGCCGTACAACCATAAGGTTCGTCTAATCATATTTAAAACCCTGGGGTGAAAAGAAGAAAAAAATGCTGGGTGAGGGAGGGGATCTATTGCTAGCCTATATCAAGCTTTCTGAGCTATCTACACCTCCAAGCGCTCAATCAGACAATCTTGAAGGAAACTGACAGCATGTACGCCACTGATATCGATTAGCCGCCATTTCTTGTAATACCTCCAGCCAAGCACATGTGGGGTCACGGGGATCCAATCCCGGAAGCCGTACAACACCAACAGCACCCAAACTCTTCGCAATCTCTTTCACGCCCTTCTACCAAGTCATGCGTTGTCCACTTCGCGGTCTGCACCATTCTGAAGGAGGCACGGAGAACAACACTCGTCCCGGTAGACTGTGTAGCACTGTGTAGCTTGCGTAGCACATGACCGAGCCTTCGTAGTCGATGATGCTGGATGTTTTCCCCGATTGAAGTACCTGCCGCACAACCCGTTTTCTAATGATCTCGTTACTAACACGTTGATGGCATCCAAAGCCAGTCACGCTTCTGATGCGTCGTTGGTCAAATACCTGAAGACGCCTCACATCATCTGTCCGTAGAGGGCACGTCTCGTACCCATACAACAACACAGCCCTTACTGTAGCCTGGCACACACGACTCTTAAGATCTAGTGAGATGCATTTCTGACGCCACAAGTGACGCAACTTAGCAAACATGATTCAAGCCCTTGAGGTTCTTGCACTGACTTCATCAGACACATTTGCGTCAGGGCTAATGCAACTACCGAGGTATGTAAAAATTTTCCACAACCTCCACTGAATCTCCTTAAATTATAAGAAATATGTTCACATAGTGCACGTTCTGTGGCATGACTTTGCGCTTGGAAGGGGCAAGGCGCATGTCAAAAGATGCTATGATGTTGGTCAGTCCATTCAACAGGGTTTGTGCTTCGCTTTGGTCTTCAAAGGTGAGGGCGATGTCATCTGCGTACTCCAGATCGACAAGGGGTCTTGAAGACCTTTTAGCGTTTGCCTCATTATTTCATGAATGATGAAGTTGAAGAACAAGAATGGAGAGAGAGAGGATATCCTTGTTCGACACCACTTTTTGTTATGAAGCTTTTGGAGAGCCCGCTATGCATTCTCACTGGCCCAAAATTGTGCGAACGGATATCCAATCAAGCGGTCGCGGGCCGTAGAATATCCAGCTGCAGCGGACTGCATCATCAGAGGTGCGCAGCCGGAACCTGGATGAGAGTGAGAGGGAGGTGAGTACGATCACAGTACTTGCGTCCTGCATCCTTGTTTCTGACAGATAACACACATCAATACAGAGGGAATCCAGCGTACGAGCAAGAGCCACCTGTTGATCTGCTTTCTTCAGTGTGCGACCATGAAGACGGCTAAGTAGATGGGCTCTCGGACTTCGGAGTGTCTAGGGTTGTGACTGTACTCGGACGTAAACAAGCAGCGGCTAAGTGTGATGCAGGGTGAGTCAAATGATCAGTCTTAGTGCTAGGACCTGCGGAGAAAGTATTCAAATTTAAGTAGATAAGGGTGGAAGACGGGGAACCTGAAATTGTGAGAAGGAATGCGTCATCAGTAGAGTGTTTTCGCCTGCCGGCCCTGCTGTATGCAGTTACTAAGGCAATTCGGATGATGGCACCACGCAACGGCCGATGTGGCATGAAAGTGTTGTTAGTTGCGAATGCTATGATCGTACGAGAGCTGGGATACTGTCAGGGGGCCCACACCAAGACAGGAGGATGGTTAGAGTCGACAACCGAAACCTGATCGCAAGGCAGCGCTGCTGGGCTGGAAATGCAAATATGTCACTAGTTTTACGGAACATAGCACCACACATGTTTCAACCCCCACATGGAGGGCCAGGAGGCTGTGTTCGTCAGACTTCTAACCATTGACCAACCTGTTGTGAGAGACTGAGTGTCGCGTGGACACCCCAAGTATAGCTCAATGGGTCGCCGAGGTACGCAAACCGACACACCGCGGTTAGGTCCAGTCTCTTCATGACGACCGTACGGTAGCCTAGATTTACCGCTTTGCGCCATAGATTTCCAGTTTGGCAAACGTAACCCAATTTTTCGAGATTCGTGCATTGATATCTGTCACATTACGCTCACAACTAGTATGACTTCCGAGATATGTAAAACGCTCTACAAATTCAGGTACCTTTCTTCGAATTGTACATGTTTTCTTCAGTGATTGCATATCCAGCAACATGACCTTATGCTCTGTGTGCCAACCACATACCAATGAGCGGATAACTTTAATCAGTTCATCTGAAAACATCTGCACCTTCTCGTCCTTTTCGAAAACGAGAACGGCGCCGTCTGCATAGTTCAGATCAACAAGGTTTTCGTCAGCAGCTGTTTCAATACGGGGGTTTTGAAGGCCAAGCTTTCCCTTCTCGTCTTTTCGAAAACGAGAACGGCGCCGTCTGCATAGTTCAGATCAACAAGGTTTTCGTCAGCAGCTGTTTCAATACGGGGGTTTTGAAGGCCAAGCTTTCATCTCATTATCTCACTAAATTGAATAAAAGTATACATGGTAGGCGCCACTCTCTTTGTGGAGGGTGTGGAGAGCTCTACTTATGCTCCTACGTCTGCAAGTCCTACAAGACCATTAACTTTTATTCACAAACTTTCGTAGCGTTCACCACTGAGCAAGCATGTCAAGCGAGACAGACCGGTAAGCATCTGTCCTGGAAACGTCTTGGATGCCTAGAAATACTGAAACTGTGGCTCACTTGTCCGGATGGCGTTGTTCCAGAACCTGATGGAGTGTGAAATTTTCTGGAACGCAACCACTACCGGGCGAAACTCTCATTCGCTGCACTGGGGTCAGCGCTTCGCAAGCCTTTATAGAGCAGCGAGGTTACATGAAGAGTCTTGTTACAGCAGTGGTCAGGTTAATCCCTCCTGTGATTATCGCATTCACTACCAGCCCGTTTTTGAAAATGCACACTATCACCGTTCTACTTCATCTGTCTGGGACAGCCTTTTCCCAAATGTAGGCAAGCAGATTAGGAAAGTGCTGATTGAGGACTTCATCCCCGTCATTGAATGTTGTGGGTGGGTGGTCATCCGGACCCAGAGTTTTTTATGGGGCTTAAAAGAACGACTTAGTAGGGCGTCCTAGACTCACCGTCCACAGTTCTACTTCAAGTGTAGGGTCCATTAGGTGGCAGCTGGTGGCTACGAGAATTGTTCGAAGTTTTCGCCCAGCGGCTAAAGCGTCCTTTAATAAACGTGTTTGCGCCACTCTGTCTTTCTATTGTTTCGCTCGCCGGCGGGTCCTGGGAGAGGGAACCAGAACGGATCAACTGAAATAATCTGAAATTCAGGCTTTTTGGGCTTCCATTTTCTTAGCCTTTTATGTCCAGCAGGCTTCACGGTCGGCGCGCACGCTTAATTTTACTTACCGTCGCGCTGAATTATATCCGGGGCCGCCGGACAGATCTCTCCGACATCCAAGCAGTGCCGCTGCTCTGTTATCCAATGCGTGAGCGGACCTGGTACTAACGGCCATGGACAAAATTGTTCGAAGACGTAGCGATCTCGTCTCAGTGCGACATAGCATCTGATGGTGAAGGAAATTGAAGCGGGCTCATAAGATGGTTCTGGGTAGTTCGCTTTAATTCGGGTTCTGCAAACCTACCGCTTGCCCTGTCGTGACCCTAGAAAGCGAAGAGGAAATGAATCCTAAAGAGTACCTTGTCAGAATCCATCCATATTCCAAAGCGAGCGGTGGCCATTTATTGATCGGTGTTATCGATAACTGATGACGATGTGATCAACTTGCCTCCGTGGTCGGCACGCCGTTGGAGGGCACTACGTAGCCAGACGATCTCGATTATTTCGGGGTTGTTGCTCTCTAGAAACAGTGCGGTCAGCCATAAGTGAGACAGGCGTCCTGTTTTTTCTGTGTGTACGGAGTCCAATCCAAGTCGACCACTCAGGTGTGCTAATTCTACCCACTTGTGTACTCAACTCTCAACCACTACGAAATCCGAGTTTTCGCCCACCTTAACACTGCGTTGAAGTCGTCATAAAAGTCCCTTTGTTCGACGTCAGAGCTATTGCCGGTCGCGGCGTAAGTAGGTACGTTAACGAGACGGTAATCAATTTCCCGCTTAGGATTTGTTCGTCGGCGTTACTCGGTGAGGTTACCGAAGGTGCACAACCAGAAACGATTGGTGAATGATGGAGCAGTTAGCTCAATGGCCGTACTTTGCTCTTGATTCGTTTTTTTTTCAGTTACGCAGCACACTCAAGTGTTGAGCAGCGTTAAACGAGTCCATTATGAGAGCAAGAGCAGTTTGTTGTCCAACTTGCATCAGATTACGAACAGTAGGATCAACCAAAAAGACCGGCCGTCTTCCTGCTTTATATTTCAAATGCCATTCTCCTTTCTCTCTGCCACCTCTTTCACAGTAGACCCATTTTGCATGACCACCCCATTCTTCTTGCATCATCCTTAGCTGCGACATGCGCGCGTCAGTCGCCTCAGATTTCTGGAAATCTATCGTCCGGCGTGGACACTTGGTTGATCTGACTGCATTTAATATTTGCACTTTGAGGCAAGCGAAATAACGGACTGCTCTTGCTCGTTCTTTGAACTCGCTTGACATTGATATCTGATATGTCGCGAAACATTATTCATGATCTAAACAATCCAGTCTATTACCAACAAAGCCAGCTGCACTGGTCATTGTCGTCTTCCTGGATGGGGACCCCGGGACGGGCAACATCAATGGTTAGAGACATTGTCAGACATGGCCCAGTGGCACCCTCAGTGGCGCTCGTGCATCCAAGCTATTGTTTTCGCTGCATAGCTCCCTTCTCAATTCCTTCACTTAACACTCCACTGGCTGTCCTGTGCACCAATTTATCCTGCACCAATTTATCAGCTGTCACCTCCACTGCTCAGCTACCCACCCCAACTCCCCAAATCATCAGTGAACGAAAGTGTGGCAGCTACAACCACTGTACGACAAGTACGCGGTCCTTACAGCTGATAATGATGCTGATGATTGTTGAAAGTGAGACACGAAAAACAGTTTTTTATGCGAAGTCAGCAACCAGAATATTGACCTAAAGGGATTTCGTACTGCCCCAACCCCTAAGATTAGCGCTATGTGCACTAGTTTGATGCTAGTGATCACGTTCAGTGAGCGACTGTCTGCTACCTGCCCCATACTGTTGGCGGATTGTTTTTCAGCTGAGTATTTTATAGGTTTGTTGCATTGACTGACTACTGGCGACCTTGTGAAGTGTTAGTAAGTTTGCTATTTACTTTCTACAGCATATTAAGTATTTACTTTTCTAACAACAGAGATAGCGGGGTAGGAATGCGCAACCTCTGTAGATAGTGACCACGTTTTCGATCGAGTTGGGTTGAGCATCTCGATCAGCTTTCTCGGGATTTACAGCACTCTTAACTGTGTGATTTATTATTCTGCATTGTGCTTTTAGGTAGGTTTTCAAGCCTATCCATTCATCCATCCTTTACATGTCTGGCCTCTCTAGATGCGATTTTAAGCATTGACCCTCTAAGCCGTTTTCCCAAGCTGAACTACCTGCTTATTGTCTCTGGAACATTCACAGGTGGTCAGTTGTCCCAATACCTCCCAACACCAAGACACGAACGACCGTTTTCCTCGGAGGTAATAGCACAAGTAATGCATCAAACTTGTCGAGCCGTACAACATATGCACAACCAATGCCCTCCTGTGATGCATCGGGATCTGAAGATTGAGAATTTGCTCTTATCAGAAGATTTCGTGATCAAATTGTGCGATTTCGGCAGTGCTAGCACTACCTCCTACACTCCTGACACATCTTGGAGTGCGCTGCAACGGCTCACCGTACAGGAAGAGGTAAGCGGTGACTGGTGTCCATCTCTTTGACCGTGCACCAAGGTATTTGATTGTGTAGGTTTCCAGTGTGAGCCTTCGTGGAGTGACCCAACATTTCGAACTGTTCGTTGTCGACTTACTCGTGCTAAGGCGGGCCAGTTTGGTTTGGCATCAAAGCCATGTTACCAATCATGCCTACGTCTGTCTCCACGAAAACGTAACCGTCTTTGCGTCGTTCTTGCCCTTGATTTCTTATTATAACCCCAACATTTTTTGAATATTGGGGTTTTCCATTCACTCAGATCTCTCTAAATACTAGAACTGGATGTGTCATATCCCTTGTATTGCGTGATTGTTTGCATGGATTAAAAACTAACGGATGGTAGCCACCATTGCATAGAAAATCTCCAACCCAGTATCATTCCGCACACATGAACTCTCCGATCTGTCACTTTTACTGTGTGTTGGCTGAACCTGTGGCTCGTTGTTTGGCTTCATAAATAATCAGTCTGTTTTGTTGACTATTTGGGAACGGCCAAGGATCCGTGCAACAGTTTGAAGTATTCCATCACACAACGAATATAAGCGGACTCACTTTCCACCTACTGTGAAAGCTCTGGAAAAAGCTGCTGGAAATTTCCCTATTTTCTACTTTTTCTGGTGAATGTACATTCACGATGCTTGTTGAAAAATGTCAATAAATCCGTGTAACGTTCACCGAACACCCAATGATCAAACCCTTTCTGGCTCAAATAATTTCGTTTCAGCGGCACTCTGGCTTGGAGAGCTAATCTCATTAGGTCCTCTAAAAGTCATAGTCGGCTCATTCTTCAGGTAATCATAGTTCGCTGCCCGTCGTCTAGGTTAGGTAGTTACACCTTAGGTATTTGTCCCGATACGGAAAAATCTTTTGCCTTGCGTTAAGAGGTGGCTTGCTGTCCCTGTGCATTTGGGAAAACAGGTCTTTTCGATCTATCCGTAAGAGAAGTCTGTTTTTGACAGCATCGTCTGTACTGTGTACCAGAACGCTGACAGTTGCGCAAAAGTTATGTTAGTTTGCATAAAGCACTTTTAACGTTATATTCAGTGCTGTTCGGCGGAGTTTGAACCCTAAAATTAATTCCGTGCAATTTCTGTTAAATTATTCTCATTTTCACCAGGAACATTGTTGGATGCTCATCGGAGAAACTTTGAGTTGAGCCGAGGATATCCGTTAACGCCGTTTGCCCACAAATAGCTCTTAGTAGAAACAATGTCGGCATGCAACCAGAAAACGTAATAAACTAATGACAAACTCAGAATAATTGAAACTCAAATGTCCAGCCTTTTCAGAGGTGATTCTAAGGACGTTTCAGTATATATTCCATTCCACAGACGTACTACACTATTCATGAGGTTGTTGATACCTTTTTCGACAGCCCCCGACCTGTTTCGGCCTTCTTGGGGCTCATTACGTAGGAGCAGTCCTCCAGTTCTCTTCAAACCTTGTGTTCTACTTGAACCCAAATTGCACGAAATTAGCAAGATACACTCATTTGCTCACAAATTTGGTTTTGCGAGAGGCTCACCTGGAACCCAACTGATGATCTTTTATGATTTCATACAATGTATTGCGATATCGCGAATGGCGTGCCAACCGAAACATGGGGCGCTCTGGTGCCTCAGCATCATAAACGAAAGATTCAGCTGGGTTCCAGGTGAGTTCCCCGTTAAAGCCTAATTGGTATGCAAGTGTATTTCATCACATTCCATTCTTTTTTCGAGGGACAGACCATAAGATGACGAACACAATTTCAGCTTCACTATCGTTCGATATTAGTAATTCATGTTCAAAATAGGCACGGGATTGTGAGTCTTTGGTCTAATTGTTGGGATTTGTGACCTTTTTAGCATGGTGTCTATTCTCGGGGAGAAGAATCTTGAACTCTTGAAGCTAGGGGATGCTTCCTTTGGAGATAGAACATGCTGCAGACATTGGGTAGGGAATTCTTGGTGGAGAGTTTGGAGAGTATTTCGTCTTTCGGGTGCTTGCGGCCTTCTTGTTCATATTTCATACTCGGAGGTTAAACTACTCATTTCACTGTTCACTTAACGTTAACCGGACAGACTACCTTGATCAACAGACTCCTGGGCTTCTGCAGGAGGTTACCATGAAAATTGTCCTCAAGTGTGTTCCCATTTACAGTAGTATATTAAGTTACCCTTTTTCTTGTGCACCGGTCGACGGCCGGACGACATGGATTCTGCTCGGGCCCCGACACTAAATCGTACTTCATGCAAAATATGTAACCAAACTTTTGTGCATGTACATCCAGGTTATCTCTCTACTCAACTCAAAATAATTCTCTGAGATCGGCAAGACTTCATTGTCCCTGTTTGTTTAACTGAAAGCTAGTGACGCATTTTCTGTATTTTGTTTGGCGTACTACTTAGCACCGTCATCCTACAGCTGGGTAGTTTCTCATCGGCGTAACATTTCCCCCTGTTCGTCTCACGCACCTGATATTTTGCGCTGTCTTGCGTAACAGTTTGTGATTGCCTCGTAAGTTTATTTGGATCGGCTCAACAACGGATACATGTACTACGGTTGCCACTGTCATGCTCCGCTTCCTGGTTTATTCACTTTCACACACGACTGATATCGAAATTTTTGTTCAGTTACCGACTTCGCAATTGTTTTCCAGTTAGGAAATAAGACTCATGGAAACTAGGAGACTGCTCTCACCAGATGAGACTTGATAAGGACGAAACCGGGTAAGATTGCTGGTGTGGGCTAGGGTCTGCTGTAGTTTTTTCTCAGGAAATTTATGGCAATTTTTTATGGCACTGTGGTATTGAGCTATGGATGGGGTACTGAAATTGTACGGTGGAACTTTTTACTCTCTATTACGTCTTCGGGTCTTTCTATTTCGGTAGTATGTAGTTAACTTTTCACCGGATACGCATTATGCTGTATCGGATGGCGTTTATGATCTAATTCAATTTTACGAGCAAACATGAAATCCGGAACCTTTATCCACCGAAATTTTTACAAGCTTACCCGTAGCCATGCTGATTTTGTGGACAGTCAATTGCTCAAAAATGTGAGACTTTAGAACAGCAAACCGGTCATCGTAAAAACGTGGACTCCTAGAGCAAAATACCATTTGTACACACAGTTGCTGATTGTAATAAGTTACAACGCTAATCATAGCGTCAGCTGAACTCCGGAAATTCTGAAAAAACAGGCATTTTAGGCTGCCCCTTCCGCCCGCTAGTATGATAGCTTCTCGCCAACTGCCCCCCTTGTTTTCGTTTTCTGAAGTTCTTACGGAGCTTGGTCTCGCTTAACATCTCTGAAACGTCATAACGGATCTAGCTGAGATGAGAAAACCAGTCATATCCGTTCGACACAGTCTCCTAATTTTACTTGTCTGCCGACATACAATCATACAGATAGGTTAAGTAAGAAATAAGACCACCAGTGTTTGGTAGTGACTGTTGTCCTTTCGTCGCCAGGAGAATACTAGTTTGTAGCTGGAAACTCCATGGTTCCATTATACTGTGCAGCGGTGTTCCTAGTAAACATCTGTCATCTCGAGTATGTCTCTTCTGATGTTCTGCATGAATATATTCTTAGTCCCTGTCAGTTTCCGTCCATTAACCAACCGCCCTGATCCTCATTCATAGGCAACCATCAATCTATCATGTGGATCTTTTGACCCCTTGCATTCCAACGGCTCTCCAACCTAGCGTTCTTAATCAGATTTGTTCAGGTCTTTCGATCAGCCAGCAGTTGCAAGTGAGGACCAATGTGAAACCATAAATGGAGACCGAATCTGAAGGTTTTCCCCCAATCGTAGAACGAATTCACGTTGCAATTGCATGAGAAACTAAAAAAATGTGCCAGTTATCCGAGGAGGCTACCGCCATTCCAAGTACGCTATTCACTTGTTCATGGCTCCTAATGCAGGATATAAATACTATTGGTTGAACCTCGTATTCTTTGTTCCCTTTCCGATCTTTATTGCGGACATTTTGGTTAGCTACACTTCTAAATTAAAACTCTTTGTTTGCATGAATTCAAAACGAACCATCACCAGGTTACCGTCGAAACCTTCGCTTTCAAACCTTCCCAGGCATAAACTTTTTCTCCTTTTTTTAGCTGGAGAAATTTACGACACCCATGTACCGAGCCCCCGAAATGCTGGATCTATACCAGAACTACCCCATTGGAACAGCTGCTGATATATGGGTAGGTGATTTGATTCTTTCGTTATTCTGCTGGTAGAACCGCTTGGCTTTGATGTTTGTACTGGTTTTTTCTTGGGTGACCCTTCTAGGGACCGACTGAACGCGATCTGCTTGTAGGGGCAAGCAATGACAAATCGGGAAACGCTTGAAGATAGAAAGACCGCTTGAATGAAACTGTGATAACGTGATCGATCTTACCTTTGGACTAACTTCTGGGTTCTTTTTCCCTCGAGATCTAAACTAGTTTTAGGACTTGCTGAATCGCTTTTACTTGTTAGCCTGCCAGAAGTCACATCGGCACTGTTAAACCTGAAGTACCTGTCACTTCATTTGTCCACCTCGCTTTACCTGACCTAGCTTGTCACGCTGCTCATCACATCTGCAAAACGGCGATGGACCAAAGACTTAATGATTTTCTGATGGATGGACATTTTTATTCAGCTCAGACGGATGATTCAGCAATCCGGGTGAACCAGTTAGTTCAACGGAAGATGCACAGATTCTTGAAGAAATGCAGTGATTGCGTCGCTTCATCCAGTTCGATTTACTTCACTTCCTTACTCCACTAGAAGAATCACGTCATTCAACTAAAGCAGCCGTTCTATGCATAACTGCCATGCGTCCTCGAAATAAATGGTAGTACTAATCCCCAACATTTGCCTTTTGAATGCGGTATTTCTTCTTCATATGAAACTTCCATCCAAAAACACTTTGGTGGGAAAATCCCTGCGATTCATTTTTTCTGCAATGTGAGTTTTTCGTGCTAGCGACATCCTCCACCAATACGGTGAGACAGTTTGCCTTTACGGGCTGACAGAGGCAGAATAACCCGGGTTCATCGGTTGATTGCTTCACTTCTCACCTCATTTCGTTAGCTGTAGCGAACTGAACCGAGTTTTACTCACAAAATATTCGAAAACCATGAAAGTTGTGCGGTGCAGCTCGCATTGTTTGGTCAGTTTGTGAAACGTCAGTAGAGTGATTTTGTTGATTACTCCACCCCGTCAATCACAAGTTCAAGGTTTCAAGTCTTAGCACAGTAGGGCGGAGGCATGACAAATAATTCATGGTAAAGTATTTGGAAACGAGTTAAAGCTCAGTTACTCAGTGGAACACGGTTCGTGCAAGGAAATACCTATCTCTTGAACCAAAGATGGTCTGTCAGTGGTATATCCAATTTGAAGAGCATTAGCAATACCATACAACTCACAGAATGCATTTACTGGTCTTGACTGATTGTGAAATTACTGTAGAGCCCTTCAGTGTCTTCCTAACTGTGCTAGTCTCCAATTAAAAAGCGGTGTGGATACTCATGGATGGTGTTTCCTATGAAGCGGGGATAGTTTAGTGCCAGAATTTCTGAGCCTAGAAAGAGCCATCGCAAAGCTAGGTAGGAAAATTGAGACCACAGACCCCTCGATCAGTTGCTTGAAACTCAAGGTTTGATCTCTCTCAAGTCCTCCGTTCAGCTGCGGTAAGAGGATGCGCAACACGTTTATTTGATTTACGTCAGCGTAATCAACTGTTCTACTAGTAGCTGCTCAAGCGCACCGGGTGATGCCGAGAACTATATCTACGCTCATGCATGAGCTAACTGTGCACCTGCTGGCGTCATGTCCAAGGGAGTAGTATTCTGGCCAATATAATACTGAAAGCGATCAGTTGTTTTGATGGGTTTTCTAGACCTCGAAAGCTTATTTAGAGCTTAAAGTTTGCTCTCTCTCTCTCTCTCTCTGTGTGTGTGTGTGTGTGTGTGTGTGTGAATACAATCCTTGGGGTGCAAGTCTGTGTCGTTCACCGTTTTGTCATCAACACATCGTCATCAGAGACAGTAACATCAGTACTGACAATGATACTTCACTGTGTACAACCACAGTTTATCTAGTTATTATAGAATCTTAAATTAGAAAGAGGATAGAGGAAGGGGGCCTAGTGCTGGCCTATCGCAAACATCCTCACATACCTACACATACAAGCGCTCACTCAGACCATCTGGAAAGAAACTGACAACATGAACACCACTGGCATCGATCAGCCTTAATTTCTTGCAATCTGTCGAGCCAAGCACAGGCGGCGTCACGGGACCCCATCCCGAAAGACACAACACCAACGACACAAACACTTCGTAATCTCTTTCGCACCCTTATGTATGGACACTAAGATTCACTTGGCGTCGGGTGATGCGTCAGCTGGAGTTGTGGTTGTTACCGGGAGGATCCTGTCGCCGGGCCTCCGGCAAAGCCCACGTTGCTATCTGATCCAATGTCTGAATGAGGTTGGCTGGGTTGCACGATAGTAAAAGTTCCGGCTGTGATTAGCGCTTTGAACATTTGTTCACAATGACTGTTAATATCCGACATCGGACTATCCGGCAGGCCGGTCCTGAAAGCTTCGATTAGTTTCTAGGTTCACTAGCCTCTCAAGGGCCAAGCAAGGTGTGCACGTTTTGGGTAGACTTGAAAAAAGGGCTATCAAGAGCAGCAGCGCATGAGTCTACCCCAGGTGCGGCAGACGGTGATCGACCTTAGCCACTGGTGACCGACGGCGATGTGGTCGATTTGGATTCGAGACCGGTTCGTTGGTTGGCATCACGTGGTCAAACGATTACTGCTGTCCCGAGATTTGGTACTGCAAAGGAACAGTCTGTGGTCGACACATAGTTGAAGTAGATGATTCCTGTTGTCCGCACGTCTTGTATCTAATTCAAGACGACCACACAATTAGGCCACAGGAGCGCTTAGTCTACCTATCTGGACAGTCACGTCAACACCAACCTTAACGGGTAAAACAGCGAAGCATCAGTGTTGAACACAGATGTCATGCTGTCGCTGATGGTGAACAATGTCTGAGATTTCAGCCCGTTGTAAAAGAGCACCTAGAACGTCATAGGTACTGTCTTTGGCAGATTCAGAGCTGTAGTCAAAACAGTGCAAACACAATAAACAGGGTGAGATGGACCTCGCTTTCTCGAGGTCCTCGCAGACATTGCCAAACGAACCGTGCAGGGGCAACAATCAGCGTGTATCCAACCAAGCAGATACCCCTTTCTCAATAACTCAATACAATGCCCACCCGAGTATATCCAGCCGCAGCGGTCTCTGCATCACCAGAGTTCTGCAGCTGGAACCTGATTAAGAGCGAGGGGCAGTCAGTTCTGTCACAATACTTGCGTTCTGTATCCTTGTTTCTAACAGACAGTATACATCAATACACAGGGAATCCAGCATACGGGCAAGAGCCACGAGCATTAGAGTCAGTTAATTAAACTGGCTTTCGGGGTTTGAAAACAAACTTCGAAGTGTTTAGGGTTCTTAATGAAGTCGGACGTACAGAAGCTGCAGCTGAGTGCGATTCACGGCGAGCATAGCAGTCAGTCTTATTGCTGGGACCTGCGAAGAGAGTGTTCAAATTGCGGTGGGGTAGGGTAGAAGAGGGAAACGGAAAGGTGTAATAAGGTAGGCGACAGAAATGGTATGTTTTCGCTTACCGGTCCTGATGTATGCAGCAAGTAAGGCGACTAGACTGGTAACACTACGCGACGACCTATTTGGCATGAGAGTATTGTTGGTTGTAAATGTCGTAATTGTACGTAGGTTGGGATACTGCCGGGGAACCCAGACCTAAACAGGAGGACGACTGAAGTCCTTGAGCAAATAGTTTAAAGTCTGACCGAAAGGTTGCTGTGCTTGGCAGGAAACTACGAGTGCATTACCATCCTCATAGAACAAGTCGCCGAACATGTTCCGAACCCCAACATGGTGAAGCAGGAGACTGTGTTGGTCAGACCTCTAACCATTAAGCAACCTGGTATGAGAAACTCTATGAGTGTTGCACGAATACGCCCCGGCATATCGCTATGGGTCACAGAGGCACACAAACGTTCACACCACAGTAGAGTCCGGTATCTTCGTCAGACCTCTTCTGGTGCTACTACACAGATGGTTACTACCTCCGGATGGTATTCGAGTGACTCACTCGTTTAGGATGTTAGTACTGCGGCAGTGAAGCATCGGTGTTGAACACTGATGTTATGCTGCCGATGATGATGTTAGTACGCGTGGGTCAGTTGATCAATCCTCGACTTTTGTGCACTGGGACTCTTTCTTTCTAACACCGACTTTTTTAGCTAGGCGTTCTAGATCTTCAATCTGTTTTGAATCCTATCAGATGGGTTTAATGTGTTACAAGTGGGATGCTGTTGTGTGTGAACGGCCTGTTTCATTCTGTCAGTGTGGATCAGATGAACCAAGCTGTTCCCCACTTATCCGAGATGTTGCCTAGAAGCAACACTTGTTTACTGGTTTACAAAACAGACAGTTACCAGCCATGTAAACTCTGCAAGGTAGGATCTGGGGAGAATCTACGCCGAATCTTGGGGTACCTATGAACTGTACGAAACTTTTCAGCACGGACTTTCGTACATTGTTCCTATGCCACAATTTCATTTTTGTCATCTGGTGGGCAGACAAATCAAAAGTGGCCCATTATGCAGGGTGGAAAATATCAAAACTTTATTCTCATATCTCTTTTGTAGGCACTGGGCTGTATACTCTTCTACCTCAGCTGCACCTATCACCCCTTCGAAGATGCAGCAAAGCTTGCCATTCTCAACGCCAAGTACACCCTGCCTCCGCCCACTTCCCGGGAAGAAACGATGTTCCACAGCCTCATACGTACGTTACCTCGTGTAGTTCTGTTAACCAAAACCAAACTGTTAACCAAAAGGCCGTGTCTGACCCGTCGACGCCGATCTAATGAGTCCTAATAAGAACGCATATATAAATATATATGTAATATGTGTGTATATGTATTGTAATATATGTAATATATGTAATAGGCGGGATGGGTCAGTGGTTAGAGCGCGAATATACTGACCTGAAGGTCCGTGGTTCGAACCCGACCTCAGTCTCTCGACATCCCAGGCTTGGGCATATATATATATATATATATATATATATATATATATATATATATATACTATTCACAGATACTGCGTAGACTGTGTGCCAGGAACATGGATAGGAAAAAATACTCATACAAAGAAATGGAATGGAGAGTGAACTTAGCTGTTTGTTTCACTGCACACGTTTGATTTTCTTGCATTGTTTAACACTATGTAAGTTGCGTAGCTGACACACTTATCAAATGCAGGTCGTCAATTGACTTCGGAACTGCTTCAGATCTCATTACTCCCAACTAACTTGCCTCATGGCCCTCAGGGTCCCATCCAGGAAGCCCGAACAACTACTGTCTAGTTTTTCATCTTCCCATACTGCGTCATCGGTTGCGCACCTCTCTCTTCAATGCCATCGGACCGTGCACATACGAACAGTTCACACCCCCGTAGAAGTTGGGATGATATACCTAGGACACGACCCAACCAACCCAGTCCGTTAATTGAGATGGTGCTTTCTGGGAGTACTTCGTCATTAATCGCATGGTGCTATCACGTGACAAAGACTATCGATGGCTATCGAAGACTGACTGACCTCTTCAGCACCGGTCGACTAATTGGCCCAAGTATACAGCATAACAGCGTGCAAACACGTCCCATAAATGAAAGGCCGATTTCGCAAATGCTGACCTGGTCTTTACTGTGCGTAGAGAGACCTCGCCCTCCGCTCCCCAGCTAAGTTTGATGTGGCTCCTCAGGTACGCCAATTGGTCAAGTTCTTCCAAGATATCACAACCCAATGCGATCGTGAGAAACGCTGCTTACCAGTCCAGTGGAACAATTTTACACTTGGATGGTACAAAGATCACCCCATAACGAGGCATCGCTCGTTAGGCTGTTCAACAGCCCTTGTTACCCATTAGCGCACACCTCTACACTTTACGATCAGGTTATCCAGATTGATCTAGTATGTTCACTTGTCGTCCTTTTGCCAAGTTTATGTCGGGTTAGGTCCATAAGAATGTTGGGGTTGTGAAGTCCGCAAGAGAACTATCCCGCTGAACTCATATTGCTCGAACATGGTTATCAGCTGCGTTCACTTCAAAGTGGTTTCCTCTGTGTAAACACTAGACCGTTTTCACTACAGGCGTAGTTTTGTTTCTAGCCTGTCCTCGCTCTTTTCCCTTCTTTTTAATTATCAAAGAGGGTATATGCCCTTCATGATAATGCTTCCTTTATTTAGAAAGCCAATAATTCCCTTCGTCCTGATTTTGAGTTCAATATGCGCTGGTTAATCCTAACAGATTTGATCCTCCGTGGCTGATAACTTTGAGGTAGAGGTGTTGGATGGGAAACGGCGAAGTTCGTGTTTTTGAAATTTTTTGGTGACACCGTTTCCATTACCCCGTGAAGTCATGCCCGGCAACACTAATTTCTTCTACGCTCATACTGTCGTCTTGCATTGAGAATGGATTGGTTTTCCTACTCCTATTCCAATTTTATAAATCAACCATCTCTTCCGACATAACTTGATCGAAAAGCTGCCACGTTTGTTAACCAATGAGACGTCTTACTCAGCTGTTTGCCCCGCGTCCAATCACGTGAGCTACTCACGTGATTTCACCTACCTTGCTCGCTTTGAATCGTGTGTTTGTGAGAGAGCTAGTTTAGCGAGTACTTGTTTAGTGTTCCTCATCATCATTTGGAATTGGGAATTCCTTTTTGGTTTGAACAAGTGCTGAGCGCTATAGTAGATATTGAAGTTCTGTGTACGTGTTTAACTGCATCGGTGGTATCAATATATGAATCCTCACTTGGACACAAGGAGCTGTGAAGTTTCGTGATATTCTCACATCTTTGTGGCCTGGTTTTAGGGCTAAGGGGTTTTCAAGGCATTGGCCTGCGGTAGGTTTTTTTCTTCATTATTTCGGCTACTTTTCTTGCATGGAGCTTTGTTCGTCCATGTCAAGCTAGACGGCCTACCCCAAAACCGGACAACAACAAAACGACGATAAACCATAGGTAGCTCAGAAAGAATAATAATTCGTACTGAGTCGAAGGCGTCACTCGGGAAGCTAGTCAATATGTGATCATATGATGTGAATAATGTGATGTGATCGAAGGATGGGTGGCGCCATATCCTATCCAACTGCGAGTTAATCACGCTTCTGACCAGCCATTCATGTCCGAAGTGTTTTGTGTCCTACTACTGGCCGAGAAATCGTGAGTTTGAATCATTCTGAAGATTTCTGAAATGCTGCCGATGATTCCCACTAGGGACGAAACACGCTTTTCGGCGTAGATTGGTCGAGCTCTTGATTCCAAACAAAACTATGGCGAGTGGGCCACGCGAAAATTTCACATTTCTCAGCTAAATTCTCATCAGAGCGGTATCATTTAAGGGTTTATTACTACGGCCAATCGTTTATAATGAACGAAAAAGTGATTTCAAGCGCACTGACATTATGCTGTCGATGATGATTGATGACTAACTAGCAGTAAAGGAGCTATGATCTCACTGGTCTTATTTTCTGCATACCCACCGGAAAACCATGAAAGCTAAATACGGGTTATTTGTCCTGTTATTGAGGAACAAAAAGCGCTGTTGGTCTCGATGCAGCTGCCTATCCTCAGATTTGTCACTTGGGAAGCGCTGTGTTTCTCCACTTACGGTTTGTCCTGAAGACCTCTCAGC